CCTCCTGTCACAGACATAAGTATGGGAGCGAAGGTCAGACATCCTCCCATTTCTTCCTCCAGCACTTCATGAATGAAATCCCTCCCTGCTGAGCGGTGAGTCCCGGATATCGTTTAGATTAAGTCTGCAGTCCTCCATGTATTCTCACTTGTGTTTGTTTTATAATTGATTTATTCATCCACTTTTCTTTCAATAATAAACTATTTAATGTGCAATTCCTGTGAGTTCCTGTGATGAAAGATTCATACTGTCGATTTTTAGTTTTCACCTACACTTTAAAAGTCTTCATCTGAAAGCACTGGTTTGGTTGGCGCAGTAAAAACAACATTTTCCTGTCTGGTTTTCTAATATAAAATATGAAGAATATTTAATTTGACTGATGAGGGTCATTATTATAAAGATAGTGTTTTTGTTTGTTTGGTAAGTACATGTTAAGTACATCTTGTCAGTCAGAATGAAATATCCTGATGTAGAGTACTTTGAAAAGTGCACTCATATGTCATCATAAACCACATTATTATGATTTACCATTTAGATTCATTCTGAAGATGTTAGATATTACCAGGCATCTGAGGAAAAGTACAACCGGGTCATGTACAAACAAATGTTTTCTTTTTCACAGATTTGACACCACATAAAAAAGAAGACAGTTAAAAAAAGGGGAAGTGGCAAATTTACTGAATCTCAAAACTCAAAACTGCTTTGTGTGGTCACACAGCTTTCTCCTTCCCATTTTTATTCAACCACCAAACCTACAACTGCTTTTAAGAGAAGCACATTAAATCACATTTTTGACCATCTTTCCCACATTTTCACACCGACTCATCTATCTGGGTGAAACAGACCAAAATGCCACTGAAGCAAAATGACATGTTAAACATGACGACCAACGTTTACCATCCAACCTGACAGAACTGGAGAGGATCTGCAAGGAGGAATGGCAGAGGATCCCCAAATGCAGGTGTGAAAAACTTGTTGCATCATTCCTAAAAAGACTCATGGCTGTATTAGCTCAAAAGGGTGCTTCTACTAAATACTGAGCAAAGGGTCTGAATACTTATGACCATGTGATATTTCAGTTTTTCTTTTTTAATAAATCTGCAAAAATGTCAAAAATTCTGTGTTTTTCTGTCAATATGGGGTGCTGTGTGTACATTAATGAGGAAAAAAATGAACTTAAATGATTTTAGCATATGGCTGCAATATAACAAAGAGTGAAAAATTTAAGGGGGTCTGAATACTTTCCGTACCCACTGTATGTATAGGAAAAGGTGAGGTCAGACATTCTCAGGGTGACCTCTCTATAACCCCTGTCCAACATAAATGTCCACCTCAGTGTAGCAGGCTGTCAGATCACTGTTAGCGTACTCTTCCATCCTTGATCTTTGCCTCTTTCAAACAGTGAAAACAGCCCCTTCAGCTGGCCCGCTAACCAACTGCTATTGTACACTTGCACTGTGAAAAAGTCTTTCACAGCATTCCCTCGTAGTGCTTTGGATGCAGGCCAGACACACCTGCTGGTGGAGGCTGCCAGCTCAGGTGCTAATGATGGGAGAAGACCTGGCTATCCAGAGGTGAACATCCACTGTGTAAGGCTTTACCAGATACTGGTGGGCTAAGGAAGTGAGTGTCACCCTGAGGCCAGCAGACACTAACACACTCTTGATAGTAAGCAGGTACAGACATCATGTTACTTTTTTAAAGTACTGGCTACACAATGTGCAGTGGCAGTAACAGTACAGGAGCTCATTCCTACACACCTTTGATGAGACGGTGTATATGTCCTCTGGCTGAACAAGTCAGGTAGAGAGTTAGTGGCATAGCCCAGGGATGGTGAAACTGGTCACTTGGTTCGTCCACTACTGAGTAACATTTACTTTCTCTGTCAGTAATATTCTACATAAATGATCAATTTAACATGTAACATATAGTAAGTGTGTTATGAACAGCGAGAGTGGTGGGTGGAAAGACCATACTATACACAGTACAGGATGGTCCCAGTGAACAGGATACTACTCACTGGAGCTCCAGGGTGACCGCTTTCTCCCCTCTCACACAGGCAGGTCTTTGGCTGTGGGCACTAAATTAAAGGCATAAGAAATCAACATATGAAGCAAAGTCAACAGCTTACATTAGTAGACATAAAAGAAAATAAATGCAAACAACCTGCAAAGAATTTGCATTAACGTAGTGACTATCAGCAATTAAATAAACAATATTCTTGGTGAAGAGAGAAATACGTGATAATCTCATATTACTTACCCCAGTTTTGACCAATGTGTTCTAAAAGAAACAGGAAGAAAGAAGGATTAGTAAGTGATGAGGATTCATATTCAGTCATTTACATTTTAATCTACCCTGTGAAGGTTTCACTGTAAACAAACACACTTTTCCTAGGTTTTTTTCAAGCAGACATTTTGACTTATCATAGTAGAAAGCTGAAGTGGAATTCAATCAATGGTGTCATTCTCATCTAAGTGTGTTTTTCCAGAAACTGTTTCTTCAAGGCCCTACAAATATGTGAAACGTATTTCCTACTATATCTCATAGAGCTTACATTTTTTTAAAGGTTCCTGCATTGTTTACACATTTGTCAACCCATTCAATTTTCACATTAATGTTAACCTCACACAACACCTACATGACTGACCATTTCACTGTAGAGCCTGTCATCCAACTGGCTATCGGTGAGGCTGAAGACATGTCGCTGTGGGGGGGCACTGGCAATGGAGCGCAGCTTTGCATCCATGGCACCATCCTTGGGCAGGCCTGACAGCCAGATGGTGAAAACCCTGATGTTGTGCTGTTTAGCCTCAGCAGCAGCTGTCACAGGGCTGGGGCTGCGAGGGTGGTCTATTCCACCTGTCATCAACAGCACCACCCTCAAACTGCTGGAAGACGTCTCACGGCTGAAAATCTGGGTGGCATTAGTGATGCCATAGGCGGAGTAGGTACCATGGCCAATGAAGGTCATTGCACCAACCTGGCCCTGGAAGACATCTAGGTCCTGCCAGTCTCTGAAGTTGTGCTCCACAGAAACTGTGCTGCTGTACTGTAGAGCGGCCAGACGCAACCGCAACCGCCAGCCGGCAGAGCGGAGCTGCATGAGCTTGGTGCTGAAACGCAGGATGAACTTCTTTTGTTGTTCAAACAGCAGAGTTTTGGCCTTCTCTGAACTGTCCACAATGAACATGACCTCCACTGGACAGAACAAGGCTAGGCCGGAAGCAAAACAGAAGAAAAGATTAGGATGCACTGTTCCACCAGCTATGGATCATAAGGATAACTGTACTGGTCTCTCCATCCATCGAACGCCTCGGCCAGCAAGATGTCTCCAGAACTACTGACCAGATTGTTAACAGTGAACAGAGGATGATGATTCTTAGTGGTTTTGCTAAATCTCTGATCTTGCATCTAGTGCTACCATTGAATTAATCTTGTTCTTTGACAAACTCTTGGTCAAAAATAAGGATCATAAAAAGTAATTAAAGAAAATCTAGTAGAACCTAACCATAGTGTCACGCTCCTGCCCCGCTTGCTTCCTGTCGTGCTTTTGTTTTCACATTACTTCCTGTTGTGTTTCACCTCAGTTTTGGCCTTTTTACTTAAATCATCATTAGTTCACCTGCTCCTTATTGTTTGCACCTGTTGTTACTTCTGTTTAGGCAGCGTCCTCCCACCAGGACGCTGCCAGATTGTTCTAGACTCCAGCTCTGACTCTCCAGCATTTATACTTTGCCTGACTCTCTGTTTCTGACCTTGGATTGCTGTTTTTGACCACCGTGTTTTTGCCTATGCCCTCCCAGATTCTGATTGCCTGCAGTGTACCGACCTTCTGATTTAGTCCCCCTTGACCTCTCGAGTTTGGATCTCCTGGCTATACCTGTTTACCAGCGCTGACCCTGGACTGTCTTATCGACCTGATTGTGATCCTGGACTTTGTGTTAGTTGTTTTGGTTGCAACAAGTAAAGAACTTTTCTCTACCTTAGTTCGTCTGGTTTTATAATTGAGTTCACCACAACCTCTGTTTGGCATCTATACACGCCAAGCCTGACACATAGTGGCCATGCCAATATCTAATTAGCTTGTAAGATGGCTGAGCCCTTGTCCAGTGAATAGCGTTACCACTGCTGTGCCACGTGTATAAACTGCACACACACAGTGGCAGAGAGCTGTACCTGATCCCAGCCAACACTGGACAAGAGGTGGGGTGCACCTTGGACAGGTGACACACTGACAGATAACCATTCACACCTAGAGACAATTTAAAGTCACCCAACCTGCATGTACTTTATATGCACTATGGGAGGGAGTCAGAGTACCAGGAAAAATTCCATGTAGGCATGGGGAGAGCATGCATACTCCACACAGAATGGCTGCCAGGTTTGAATCCAGAACCTTCTTGTTGTGAGGTGACAACCATGGCTACCAACCCTCCCAATTTTCTTGGGAGATTCCTGTTTTTCTCTATTCTCTCCCTATTTCCTCCTGTGGCCAAAATTTTCCCACCTTTCTCCCAATTTATGACAAAATTTCACAACTTTCCCCATTTTTATTATCACAACCGGTTCCTGGTACTATGCATTGTCAGAGTATTGTTTCCACTTGGACAACAATACAGCCACACCTTCTTAGCATGCGCATGAGCGCTGTTCATACCTCCTCCCCCAGCGAGAGAGAAAGCGAGACAACTTAACCTTCTTTCACATGAGCTCATTAGACAGTTGAAATTGCACTTATTTTTCTAAAATATCTCAAGCTGTTCATCACTGTTTTATAAATGGATGGTTGATTAACTGTGTTTCCAGAATGTTCTTTTACATCTTTGTTATTTATTTGTTCTTTACTGCTATTAATGGGCTATTATGCATCAGCTTTACTGGTCTATTCAAGCTTGAACTAGGTTATATATGGCCCATGAAATCAAATGGCACCCCTGAACAAATGAAAACCGACAGTTTTATTTTTGTCAGAGTTCTTGCTAAAAGAGCCAAATTACTTGGTGTGCTTTGCATTCACTGAGAATTAAAAGTTGAATTAAGAGTATTTTACATAAAACCCTTTAAATACATAAAATAATATGTGTTAAAAATGTTGGCCCAAAGGCTCCAAATGGCCATAGCATTTTACAGCATCTGAAGTGAGCAAGAGTCACCTGTGAATTCACAAGATAAATCGCAGTCTGGTGTTTCATAATGAGGAAGCACGTCACCCAGTGCAGTGGCGCGTTCACTGGTGTGTTTTTAATCATTTTTGAACAACAGTGGTCTATGGCACGGACGAATAAGCTAATCCAGGACTGACAAACAACAATGAGTAGAGGCAAATCACTGTTGGTTTTAGTGTCTGTGCTGTGATTGTTAAAAATACTGTTAATATAAAAAAATGACCAGTCCTATCCTTTAGGCACAATAACTATAAATCTGCCATAAGTTATTATATGACAATTATTGTGTCCCAAAAAGGGATACCTCTGCATTCAGACATTCACACAGTTCAGCACCTAGTGTTGAACAGTATACAGTATATTACACAAATCCATTAAAACCTCCTGTAAAGATCAACACTGACTGAATACAACCACACACTTAAAACACACAATAGTCAATACTCACAACACAACATGAGGGTTGGAGTTAAGATAATATAGGACTGTGTCAAGTCGAGACAACCAGATGTCTTTTCACACTTTGCCAGTGTTTACCTATTAACTATCCATCTAAGGGTGTACAACTCTAACATTTGATGGCTTTTTAAACACTTACGTTTGGCCTCATTAGTGATGATCTGGTTATCATCTTTCTGTCCTTTCCTCCTGTTTTGGCATCTGGCTGCGCTTGACAGGGCCAACATAACAATGAAACCCTTCACTAACCACCACAGGGACATTCTTCAGTCCAGCTGCTCAGCCTGTCGAAAAGTGGAGAAGATTACAGCAAAATATGAGACTTAATTAAGGGTAGCATCAGTTCTCTGAGTTCGCTTAGAGGTCACACAAGTCAGAAAGCTGGGGTCACAGTTTTACCACAGCTGCTGAGGGACATTATCACAGTTACTGCCAGTGGTGGAAGGTGTGATTTGTTAATTAAGTAAAAGTAGCAGTACTTCACTGTGTAAAATACTCTGTTACAAGTAAAAGTCCTGCATTCAAAATGTTACTAAAGTACAAAAGTATTTGCACCAAAATATAAAAGTACCAGAAGTAAAAGTACTCATTATGCAGAAGGTTACATTTCACATTAATGTACAGTGGGTACGGAAAGTATTCAGACCCCCTTAAAATTTTCACTCTTTGTTATATTGCAGCCATATGCTAGAATCATTTAAGTTCATTTTTTTTCTCATTAATGTACACACAGCACCCCATATTGACAGAAAAACACAGAATTTTTGACATTTTTGCAGATTTATTAAAAAAGAAAAACTGAAATATCACATGGTCATAAGTATTCAGACCCTTTGCTGTGACACTCATATATTTAACTTAGGTGCTGTCCATTTCTTCTGATCATCCCTGAGATGGTTCTACACCTTCATTTGAGTCCAGCTGTGTTTGATTATACTGATTGGACGTGATTAGAAAAGCCACACACCTGTCTATATAAGACCCTACAGCTCACACTGCATGTCAGAGCAAATGAGAATCATGAGGTCAAAGGAACTGCCTGAAGAGCTCACAGACAGAATTGTGGCAAGGCACAGATCTGGCCAAGGTTACAAAAAAAAATTCTGCTGCACTTAAGGTTCCTAAGAGCACAGTGGCCTCCATAATCCTTAAATGGAAGACGTTTAGGACGACCAGAACCCTTCCTAGAGCGGGCCGTCCGGCCAAACTGAGCTATCGGGGGAGAAGAGCCTTGGTGAGAGAGGTACAGAAGAACCCAAAGATGACTGTGACTGAGCTCCAGAGATGCAGTCCCACTCAACCATCACTGCAGCCCTCCACCAGTCGGGGC